TAAAATTTGAATTTTTAAAAGTCGTTGAAATTTGAATTTCGGTGATTGTTCAAAATTACAACAAAAAAAACTTCAGTTCATCGATTTATTGGATTTATTCATTCAGAAGTAAATCAATCTTAAGCCACTAACCAACCTCAACAAAATGCGCCTTACCCAATCAACACGTAAGCCTATTTTTAATCCAAATTTCTTTCATCTCAATCAGCTTTTCTGACATTGCTTAATGAACTTACTTCTTTCATATATTTTTCAATTATTATTTGAATTGTTTTAAATTTACGTCCGTTTTCTTTAAATGACAGATAATAACTAGGGTTTCTGAAGCCGTTAACGAAAAACGGAAAACGGCCGTTAACGGCACAAAAATTGAAAACGGAAAACGGCCGTTTTTCATTCCGTTTTTCCGTTTTCTCATAGTTCATACAATGTAATTTTAAAAATTTTTTTTGTTTATTTCTTTTAAAAATTATTCTCAAAAACAGTTAAAAGTTTTTGCAATTGAGATTTATTATTATGGATTGCCTGGAAAGTTTGAAAATCTCATTTCAAGTAGTATATTAGAATCAGAAATGTAATCATAGTTGCGAGTCCAGTTTTGTTTGTTGTTTAAATACAACAAATCAAAATCTGAACTCAAGAATTTACAACGGGTTTTTCATATTTGATTTTTATCAATTTTTATGAAAAATACAGGAAATCGATCGGAAAATCTTCAAAAACTTTATGATGCTTTGTTGTGTATTAAGCCGACTATTACAGATGTGGAGCGAATATTTTCAATCTGCAATAATTTTTGCACAAAGATTCGTTCAAGGCTGGCTGATGCATCACTAAATGCTCTTGTTTTTCTTAAGTTCTATTATAATAAAATGAATAAATAGTTATAATAAATATAAATAGAACTTAAGACTTTCTACATATTATCTATATAGAACAGCAATTCTTTATCTTTTGAGGAATATTTCATTTATATTTGGGTATTTAAAAAACTTAAAACGGCCCGTTAACGGCCGTTTTTGAAAATAAAAAACGGAAAACGGCCGTTTTCGAAAATGCCGTTTTTCAGAAACCCTAATAATAACATTTTTTTTGTCTACATAGTAGGAATGTAGCAGAATGTATTGTATCATAATCATTATAAAGTTTAGAGTCGGAGATTACAATTTTATTAATTTACAATGCTCGCTCGCGTGCGATTCACATTTTATTGTAAAAAAATATTGAACGAAATAAATTGAAAAAGAAAGATAATAATGAACATGATGTGAGCTTTTTTTCTTATGAACTGCTATGATAATAAAGTTATGAAGCTAGTCTGCTGTCGAGTTTGAATTAAATGACGACAGTTGATGACTTAATATGTCTTTTGTTTCTGTTTAACTTTTATTAAAATTCAGAAGTGAGTTTGAAATCGTGATTGTTGAAATGTTGTTGATGGTCTTAATTTGTGTGATTTTAGATGAATTAATTTTGGAAGTTTAAATTTTTAATTTTTAAAATTCAACAAATTTCAAGAATTGAAACTTTAACGGTTTTAAAAAGTTCAAATTTTAACGGTTTTGAAAAATTCAAATTTTTAACAACTATAAAAAATTCAAATTTTAACAGTTTTCTAAAATTCAAATTCTAACGGTTTTAAAAATCCAAATTTCAACAGTTCTCAAAAATTCAAGTTATAAATTTTTTTAAAAATTAAAATTTTACCGGTTTTCAAAAATTCAAATTTTAACAATTTTCAACAATTTAAAAACTCGTATTTTTTGTAAAATAATGTTAAATTAAAATTCCATCAAATAGAAAGCAAAAGAAGTCAATAAAGTGAATGGAAAGGATCAAAAAAATTATTTGGTGATTTACCCTTAAATTATAGACAAAAAGCTATTATATTCCGCCTAATATAACCTATAATCTTCCATATATTTGCACAAATCTTTTTCATTTCGCACAATCTTTGTTGTAACTGTCCAACCGACGATCGCGATCGCTAGTGAGATAAAAATCATTTTATTGTAATGATAATTTAAATTAATGGACAGTTATAGTGTTGCCATGACGTCGACGAAGAAAGAAAGAAAAAAATATGTTGTAGTGCTTTACAATGACCATTATTTAACTAATTTCATAAGAAAGTCTTTTCACTTTCATTGCCATTGTAACGTAATTATTCCATCACATTTTATTACTTACCGCTTTATTTATTTACCTTTGCTCTTTTTCTTCTCTCTTTTTTTCTTTGTTATAGATTATCGAATAGATGTTGATTTTTTTTCATGGGGGTCATCTATTAATGATGTTCACTCCTTCTCACCTAGTTTCAAAACCTGATGTTTATTGTTATATTGTCTCAGAATTCCTCAGCAGGGGGGGGGGGGGGTCCAAGGGCCCTCTTCTATTAATGGATGTCATTCCTAAATGTCCCCTAATAAGTCTTGTACCCACTGCGATTTGCGGTATTTATTTAATTTTCTCTGCAATAGCAGATACTCATAATTGAACTGTTTATGTCTGTTTATGTTTTGAAAAATTATTATGAAAGCATAATGAGAGACCATAATTCTTGTACTTAAGGTTGAAGTGATTTAAATTTGATTTATTTAATTATGCAGACTGTGATGAAGTAAAGTTAAGTTCGATAATTGAGATTGGCAATTTTCTGGTCTGGCAATTAAGTATATTTTTTATGGTTAGTAAATTAATCAATTTTGTGAGTATTGAGTCAGTTTTGATAGTGTTTTTAACCATTTTAGTGGTCATTGAGAGACATTGTTGATCAGTTGTGGTCATAGACATAGTCAAAAGGGTTCAAGAAGGTCCTGGCAACACACATCTAAAGATTAAGAATTAAATTGAATCTCATAAATTTAAAAATATGGTAAACAGTCACATCATGAAGATCGGACCCCCCTCCCCTCCCCCAGTCCCCTTAGATCACAATTTTTTTCATTTTAACTCGTCATTTCAGCTCAAATCATCCAAAACCTTAACACACAAATCAAAAATAATCCAATTCCATATATTCATATTTAAATCTCAAAATCTCTTTAATTAACACCTAAATGCACTTAATTTCCCTAACAGCTTCCATAAAAAACCTTCTTAATTGTTGTTAAATTTTCACTTCTTCATCTCATCATTTTCATCTTCATTTCACGGCTTCTACATTCCTCTCATGAATCAACATACTCACATTTTTTTATTTTATTAGGAAGGCGTTATGCTGATTCATTGTCCAAAAGATTGATTTTACGCTTTGTTTATTACAGTGGGTTTACTTTAAGAGTACATTGTGAGTTAATTTTTATTTCTTCTTCTCGTTTTGCATGAGTGCGTGGGTATTTTTTTTGTCAGTGTGCTTGCTGTTTACTGCGAGGAGGTTCAAAGTCTTTTTTTACTACACATTTTCACCGTCTAATTCCACAGCATCATCACTTCAAAGTTTAAGACTTCTTCTTACCCTTTTCATGCTTTCCATTTAAACGCGATGAGTCAAATTTGGTTTCTGAAGAAGCTGCGGACGGTGCGAGGGGAGAAAGGTTTTAATTGTTGCTTTTTTTTTACTGCAAAAGCTGAACGAGGGAAGTTTGATTGTTTAAAAATTAAATTTGGAAAGATTTTAAAGACTATTTAAAAAATTAAAACGTTTGATATTAGAATGGCTACACACTATTCCTAGGGCCGATTTCTAAGTCTATCCCTAGGACAAAAATGAAATTCGGTGAACTTTAAAATCCCCGGGTAGTGCTAGATACCGGACTTTGATGTATACTTTAAGACAGTGGTGGACAACCTCTTTTGTGCCATGAAAAACTTTGGTGATAAGCTATGACCGAAACTGCACACGTCACACTTGGGTTTCGAATTTCACAAGTATGTAGCCACACATCACTGATCTAGTGTATCTAGTGTATCAAAGCGATAAATGAATCCAATTGTCATCAGTGAGTAGAGTCATAATACGTTCTTACAAATGGAATTAGCTACTGACAACAACAGGAGTCATAAATGACATTATTTGAAAAGAGCAACTGAATTCGTGATCCAGGATGTGTTGAATAAAATATATTGATTCTTGATTTGGCTTTTTCACCATTTTCACAACATTTTCATTCCTTAATTCAGGCAAAAATCATTTCAAAAACTCAAACATCTGCAGACGTAATTTATTACACAACAAGAAACTTTTTTGTACATGAAGAAATAAAAGTAAAAATTGAAATTTATAGAAACTTTTTAGGAATTAAAGACGGTAATTAATCCTGTCTATGGGTAAAGAGATAGCAATTTAACGATTTAGGTCAGAAATCGCAATGTCTTTAAATCTTATTTTGATACAGGGCAATTCTTTGGATGACTTTCGAAAAATTTTCAGCAAAAAATCGAAATTTTATTGATTTTTCCCATCAGAGGCACTGATTTTATGATTCTTATCGATGTAAAAATCTAAAATGTACACTCCTTTTGATATCATATACTTCTAATCGCTGTATTAATTAAGTTATTTGGATTCTTTTGTCCAAAAAAAGGGTGAAAAAAGTCGTTTTTTTGCGTAACGTAATAAGTGAACGGCCCCTTATAAATGAATGGCTATGTCCTTGTAATTGAATGATATTGTTGAGAATATATTAACAGTTACTTTTTATTCAAATTATTATAATTGTTTGATTTCCTTTGAATAGTTGTAAGCTCCTTCATAGAAATATTTAGTTCATTTTTGAACTCAGAACAATAAACATCTTTGTCATTGAATTAAATCCATGAAAAGTCTTTAATTAAACTTAATCATTGTATTTATTACACTAAGAGCTATAAATATTTAAATACTAAAGTAATGTGCATAGCCAGGTAGGAGGTTAATTTTTGGAAACATAAAAACACCATAAGTCATGTCAAGATTTAATCTTAAAACTTTTTACAAATAAATCATTGTCCAGAACATTTTTTGGTCATTTCAAGTTGAGGATTGTCGCAAACTAGCTTTGGTAAAAATGAACTAGTAAATGATTTTTGTAAGAATATTTGTCATCACAGTTTTCTTGAATTTAGTGAAATTAAGCACATCTAATGACTATTTATCAATATCAAAGGCAATTGCAGACATTTGTGAAGTATTTTACATCCAAAACTCAATAACATTTGATGTGATAATTTATGGAGAATCAACACGTCATCTTGATGATGTTATAAATGGAGTTTTAGGGCTTATTGGAGGAAATGCCTCAAAATCTGTTGTGCATTTCAAAAATATTAGATTCTTTAAGCCAGACTTAATTCAATCAGCTGTGATTCTGTTTAAAAATATTTCAATTTTACAGGATTTCAATGCTAATACAGAACTTACAAATCCATCATATAAAACCTTAAAATTTTTAATTTATTGTGAAAATTTGGATGATTTTTATCAGATTCCGACAGTCAAGATGTACAATTCTGATCGATCACATGTCAGTTCCTTTCAATACTTTATTGTCGATAGAGAATTTTTTATATTTTTCGTAACTTTTGATCATTTTCAAGAGAAGTCATGCAACTTAAGAAGTCACAGGATCATCAATAGTTTCACCAAAAAGTCTCAAAAGTGGACAAAAAAGCTGGGAAATTTTAGAAATTTTAATGACTTCAATGGCTGCATGCTGACCTACACTGACAGTTATAATGCAAATTACTTGCTTAATAGATACAACAAAGAAATTCTAAGCTGTGCTAGATCAGAATCCAAACTAAATGTTTGTCCTAAATTGATCAAAAAAATTCTCGATCGTCCTGGTGTTAAGTTTGAAGGTCTTGTGTATGAAGTCTTTGAAGCTATGGCAAAGCATGGCAATTTCTCTACAAAATATAACTTCATCACAAATGGATTTTTGACAACAAAAGGAAATTACTTTATTAAGCATGATATTCGCATTTATTCCACTGGATACTTTCCAGATTTGATTAGACGAGTTCACATGATTTCGCCATTTTATGACGTTCCTTCAGGCATTTTTGTGACTCCTCCAGAATTTTATAATAATTTTGAGAAGCTATTGCTGCCATTTGATGCTGTGACTTGGATTTTATTGGTTGCAACCTTCATTACCATATCTATTGTCCTCTTTAACATGCGATTCACGTCAAACAAAGTCAGAAAGTTTGTTTTCGGACTCGGCATTCAAACTCCTGGGCTGAATGTTCTTCGAATATTCTTTGGAATCGGACAAACGAAGCTGCCTAAAGAATCTATTTTAAGGTTCATCTTGATATTCTTTGTACTGTTCTGTTTGATTATGAGGACATGCTACCAAAGTAAAATGTTTGATTTTATCACATCTGACATGAGAAAGTCACCACCAAAGACACTGGACGAGGTTATTGATATGGGATATACGATTGTTCTAGGAAATGGATCTGAGATGTATGATGTTTGGTATAATGACATTCGATCCAGAAATGCAAAGTCAAAATTTTTGTTTTTCGGCGAAAGCGTAAATATTTCAAAGAATTACTGCGTAAGTATCAATAGAGTTCATCCAAAGCTTGCATACTTAATGCCAATCATGAATATGTTATCTGCAAGCTCATTTTGTGGTGGTTTTCTTACTTCTGTGAAGCATTTTGAAATGACCTCCTGCTTAGGTGGACTAGGAATGGTCAGAAACAGCATCTTATATCCAATTTTTGACAAAGTCATGAACAAACTAGTTCCATCTGGAATACCATTGTATTTATTCAAATATTATAAAGAATTTCTTTATGGAGTTTATCAAGAATCAAAAGAAAACATGCCAAAAATTTTAACATTTGATGATTTGGAGTTTGGATTCATAATGTGGCTTACAGCATGTGGAATTTCATTAGCTGCATTTGCAACTGAAATATTGAGATATAAAACTTTGAAGTTTATTGAAATTTATGTTGGGTTGATTGTCTTGGTGTCGATAGTGACCAACAGAACACGAAATAATTAGATCTTCGGTATGCTTTGCCTGAATCGTCCCAGCAAATCAATAAAAAGTCAATAAAATTGATTGATTCCTAATTCGAGATACTTAACTTAATTAATTATGCTACGCGTGTAAGTGGAAGTAGTCTACAGTAGCAACAACCTTGCTGTGTCAATGACCAATCAATGACAGTGCCACAAACAAAACAAAAAAAGCAAGCTGATTGTTGGCAACAAGACATTCGAGATGCTTTCATTTTCAATTGATTTTTATAGACACAGACAATGGAACAAAAAAAGTTTATTTGGAATTGGAATTTGTGCAAACTTTTTTTCCAATTTTGGTTGTCAGGTGCATGACTTTAAGTTGATTATGGTTGAAAGTTTGTGGAATGTTTAAAAAAAAGGTTTTAAGGACGCTTTTAAAGAAGAATTTATTAAAATTTCAGGCTGGGTCAGTTTAGAGCAGTGTCTTTCAAACTTTTTTGGTCGGCAACACAACTTGATGGTAAGCCATGACTAAAAACGAACACGGCATTCAATACATGTGATTTTCCGAATTTTTTTCGCGACATATAGTGTGGAATTCAATGGTTTAGAGCCTTTACAAATGCCTACCAACCACCGTAGTGCCTTCCTCTACCCGATCTCTCAAACTCTTCGGCAATACACAATTCCATATTAATCACACAAGTCTAACATCAAGAATACTCAACTCGATGTCTTCTTTCCCTTTCATTTAAAATAAGCAAATCAATTGAGTTTTACATGCTGCTGTAGCCAAGAGGCTTATGTCTGGCGGATTTATTTCGGCTAGTCATTGTGTAATTGAATCTTTTGATTGTCTATCGTGTTCGATTTCTATTAACCTCACATCTACTTCCTCTTATTTGTTTATTTTTGGAGATTTTTTTTCGCGTGTCGTGTATCAGGTTGGTTTCGGAGATTGCGGCTGCATACATGATTCTGAAGCTTTGCAGGAAATTTTTTTTGTGTTTTGTTAAGAAACGAGGAGATGATGGAGGAAGGGAAGGGGGGGGGGGGGGGGGGGGTTGTGACAATATTTTTAAATATCAAGTGTCAAAGCTTAAAACCAAAACAAGTTTAATTGCCCTTCAAGTGCTTTATCAAAATCTACCTTCCTCTAGCTACACCTCAATCATGAAACCTTCAATCTCCCATCTCAACTTCATCCTCATGCACTCAACATTAACCTCAAGGTCGACACCAAAATTCTCAAAAAATTCTTCAACCACAAAAACTTATCACATAAGCTCACAGATAAACGCTTTTCATGAATTTTTAATTTAATTAACTGTTTTTCTCGCTCAGTTTCATATTTTGTGCTATTCGATAGTGAACGTGGAAGCATGTAACATGTGCTTTAATGTGCGAGGCTGTGAAATAATTTCGGATATTAAATAATCAATAGAATGGAACAGGAGGATAATCGGATTAATGTTTGGATGATTATGATAATTGGATGATGGGTTTTTATTGGGAATGAGGGAGGGGGGAGGGGGGGGGGGGTGAGTTTGGATGAGGCAAATTCATTAAAAATCAAAAAAAAAGCTTTAAAATTTAAAAAAGCTCGAAAATAACCTTTAACAAAAAAACATTCCAAACCAAATAAAACATACATCACGTAGTAGCTGCAACTATGCTATTTATCCTCTCTACAAAATTCCTATTTTCTGTTTACTCAGCAATCATAACAATTATATATGGCTAGTTTATGCTAATTTTACGATTCCTCCTCAGTGAACTTTATATTTTTCTATTCCCGCACAGGCACAAGAATTGACTTTAAAAAAATTCAAGCAGCGTAAACTTCAAATTGTTCTTTTATTCACAATATAAATCTCTTTCTTGAGCACAATATAAAGCAGCATGAAATGTTTGCTTAAAAATAAAATGTATTTTAAATAGAATGAGCAGCTTGAGGGGGAAGAAAATACTTCAAGTGACTCTCTCGTTTGCATAAATCTCATTTCAAACTAGCTTTTTAACTAGACGACAAACTGTGATAAAAATGGGGGTCGTGAGGTATGTTTGGAATGTTGAATTAATTTTAAAGATGTTGAAGATCTTTTTTGGATTTGATTCTTATTAGATGTTGCTAGCTGCATCGAGTGGGGTTGTAATTTTTTTTTCGATTTTTCTCAATTTTATCTCTTAAAGTTTTCATTTTTGGAACTAAACTGCTTCACCGCTGGTCTGTATTTTAATAAGGTGTCGTTCACTTATTACGTCCAAAATCAACGGTCATTTTTCAGAAAAGAACAATGAATTATTTTTCTAGCTTCCCCCTCCCCTCCATCCCCCAATCCTGTGACGTCATAAGGGGCTGTTCACTTATTACGTAACGCGAAAAAATGACTTCTTAGACCCCACCCCCCCCCCCCCCCTCGTAACAAAATTTGTATGAAAAAAAAATTTTCTTGTTTGAACCGTAACAAAATCTTAGACCCCCCCTCCCCCTAAAAGCGTTACGCAATAAGTGAATGGCCCCTAAGTGAACGGTCCCTAATATACAATTTTTTCCAATATATCTAGGATCTTATCTTTTATACTTCACAAGAGAAAGTTTCAAACATTTTCACACCCGAAAAGACGAAAAAAGTTAATCTTAACCAGAACCTTTTCAGGAACAGTGGTCGTCATGTTAGCCAAATCAGAACCTTCACGTGGTGTTGGTTTTTGAAATCATTAAAAGGTTGATTTGCGCTCAAGATTAACTATGAGATTTTGCTTCGTTGAGATTAGAACTTTCAACTGAAATCTCAACTCAAGAAACTTCTGACCCGCAAACACTTGACGGTCTTAAAAATTGTAAGTGACAAAAATGGTATTTAAGGTTCGGGTGTTTTAAATTGAAGTCTTCGATTACTGATTTAAGTGATGCTTTGACTACTATAATATACTATAATTTGTAAGGTTTATTTAACAAAACCATACAAATTCTAATAAAACCTCACAAATTATCATGGAATTGTACGGTTCTCATCTGTGCTCAGGTGCCTGTATCGCAACACTGAAATCACATAACCCCTAAAAGAATTCCCTTATTTTCTCATTTTGTGAGACATCGCATACGACGACATGCAAATGTTGAGGCAGAGCATTAAAAACATGAATAAATCAAGAGAAAGAGAGAAAAAAAGTCGAGCATACAAGAAACATAGAAAAAAAATTATTTTAATTTAACACAAATGAAAGTAATTTGCAGAGAAATGAATGTACATGTTGGCTGTCGAGTCTTTAAAATCTACACACTTTGGCGCTATATAATTGTATACATTTGTACATAAATTCTATAAAAAAAAGAGGGGAAAAACATGCAAAAAAAAAAGAAAGCTTAATTAAATTTTCATAAAAAAAGGAAATGAGGCAGCATAAAGAGAAGAAGTGGAAATTGTGGCAACAGTATTATTATTATTGTAATTTTATGCAATATGTGCGGCTTCTCACGTGCTATACATGAATAATACATAATCTTGTTGCACTGATTGATGCTATCGAATTCTACAAAGTCTTACTTATTAATTTAATTAATTAAATGTTAAAAAATTGAATTTTTCTACTTTGTTATTATTTGCAGAAATTAGATTCTTAATGCGAAAGGAAATCGAACTGGAAATTGAGGAATTTGCATAAAAATAATCTAGGTTATTTGGTATTTTATTGTATATTTATGTTAATGAACCGTATTTTTTTGCATTATTGCTTTTCATGACTGTGGTTAATATTTATAAAGTGTGTGCTGCAGCTATTAATAGTTTTTAAAATTGCAAGTCATGTGAGAAATTTATTGAATATTTTTTTAAGGTTACATTAGCATAGCTTAAAGAGGGTGTTACATGGATGAGGGAAGTGAAATGATTGGTACTTGAGGATTAGAACTAGGAGCATGACCAGGGCGAATGATGCAGGATGGTTCAAAACCTAACCTTGACGAAAAACAGCCTCAAATTAAAAGGGGTTCCAAAAAAAACTCTAAATCGACATCTCTAATCCTTAACTCTCAAGTTTAAGAAAAATATTTAAAATTTCTTTGATTTTATGCTTCTGGAACTTAAACACTGGCTTCAATTGATACGCAATGTGTGTAATTTAGGGGTCTTAAAGATGACAAGAATTCATCAATGAGAATTATTTAAATTAAAACAAAAAAAAATTTACAGATTTTTTTTAAAAAATTGATCTTAAATCGAAATCTTTTCAGGGCAATAAATACAAATCGACATAAATATAGAGTTTCAGAAGTCCTAAAAGCTCAGTTTTTTCATCATCATTAAAGACAACCGGACTGAAGATCAATTAAGAGAATTTCAGAAATTATTGAGACTCGAACTTTCGAGAATTGGAAAATTCATTCTTAAACTGAATTAAAAACCGAAATCTCTTGAATTTGATGAATTTATGATGTGACAAAAATTTAATTTAAGTAGAATGCAAATTTTTTTCTGGAACGGGGGGGGGGGGGGCGTTTAGAGACATGAACATAAGGATTTGGGAAAACTCTTTTGATTAAAAAAATAATTCAATTTGTGAAGCGTTTTGTTAAAAAAAATTCGATTTTTAAAAGAGGGGGGTCTAAGAAGAGGGAGAAGGAGGGGGGGGGGAATTCTGAAATTTTTTAAAAATTCAAACAAATGAATTTTTTAAATAATTTTGTGACAAAAGTGATGGGGTTGAAAATGTGTAACGAAGTAAGTCAACAGCCCCTTAAGGGTTGTCCATAAATGATGTCAAACTTTTAAAAAGCGAGAAAGTCTTTCACTTTTGGACGGTAAATTCAGACTACCGTCATTTCATATAACATCCGTTAAATTTATATTCAAAAAAATTCAAATTTTTTATGGCCGTTATAATATTCAAAAATTTTTGACGGTTAAACCAGATTTTACCATGCACTTACTCATTTTGCTCAAATTTTATTCTTAATAAAGTTGAGAATGGATAAAAAAATATAAAATTAATAATTTATGAAGAACTTTGGGATTTGTGCTGAATTGGTATTAATTAAAATAATTTATTGTTTACATAATGTAACTGTTTTTTGAAATTTGAATTTTCGTCTCTAATATTGAAGAAATCGAAATTAATTTCGAAGAAGTCCGAAACGAAATGGCGGTAGTCTGGGTAAATTTTTCAAGTACTGGGGGTCCTCGATTTGAGTAGGTGTTTTGTTCCAAAAAAATCATATTCAAATCAATCTACTCAAATCGAGGACCCATAGTAATAACTGCTAGGAAGGGGATCTAATGAAATGTACGTCATTTTTGAACGACCCCCAAAAGAAATTTTACTCACATACCTCCTCAAACCAGCAACTTCATCTCTACAATACAAAATGACATTCTACTTATAAGCTTCAGCATAACTTCCCTCACTCATAATTAGCACAGCAACATCTACAACCTTTTATGTCACCTGTGAAAAAAAATTAAGCAAATGTATGTCTATGTTCATTAGATTCAGTCTATTATGAAGCATTTACCATCATCATCATTTTTTCTCATAATATTAAATTCCTTTTTAATGCTCACATGTCATCGAGTCAAAATGAGAATGAAACAGTTGGCAAAGGCAACAAATTTTTTTGTGGGAGGAATAAAGTAAGCGAATAATGGAAAAATGCTTTTTAGCGTAATTAGCTTTTTCCATTCATTATTACACAAGTAAATGAATTTTATAGGAGGAAGTAAAGCAGGAGTGAAAAAATTATGTCATGTGTTGTATGTGCTGAATGGAAGTGAATAATTCAAATGAAAATATTTGTTGAGGGAATTTTTGGAGGCAACGAGAGACGTGAAAAACGTTTTAATTTAATAAAATATAAATTTGTTGAGATTATGGAGCAATTAGAGTATTTTGGATGTTGTGTGAATTGCGGATGTCAGGCTTTTAATTACAATTTAATTAGAAAGGCTTGGAGCTTGGGATTTTCGGAAAAACAACTGTCACAAAATATTTGAAAAATAACGGTTAAGAAATTTTAAAAAATAACAGTTAAAGAATATTCAAAGGCAAATTTTTCAATTAATCCACCAAATAATATCATTAACAAAGAAAAGCCTCGTAAAAGCAACAAATGTGCACTGACTCGTCACAAAAATAAATTAGAATTGATTCAAAAATTCAAACTGCACGCAACGACGGCAAAATAAAATCTTCTTTTGTGGAAGCTTTCAAAGGAAGTCTCAAGAGCTTTAAAAACTCAGAAAATTCACATAATTAATTTTTTATTCAGCCTTTTTTAATCGTCCATGTTTTATGTGAAAATTTTCCTTTCAACAATTTTTTTTAATTAAAACGTAAACGTTGAGTAAAATATGAAGTTTTTATATGCATTGAAACATAACCTTTAGTATAATAATAAAGGCATAAATGCTGACGATAAGCAGGCAAATTGTGATAAATATTTTATTTTTTAACATCACAATCTATAGTTTTTTTAAAACTGGCAAAAAATAGGATAAGACGAAAGGATTTTGAAGCAGTTTGTCATTTAAGACTGCTTAAATAAGGGGCCGTTCGCATTTTAGGGGGGAGGGGGGGTTTGAAAAATTGTAACAAAATGTAACAAAAGAGGGGGGGCAAGAAATATGTAACGTTCTAACTGTTGTCTGTCTTTTAAAAAAAAATTCACACCAAAAACATTTTTTAAAATTTTCCACCTTTTTATCAAAATAAAATAAATTATGAACGTTCAGGAAGGGAGGGGGGGGGGGTGAGTTGTAACATATTGTATCAAGAGGGGAGGGGGGGGGGGGGTGAAAAAAGTCGTTTTTTTGCGTAACGTAATAAGTGAATGGCCCCTAAGTTGTTCAGCACATGAAAGCTGAGAAGGGATCGTGTGAAGTTTGAAAGTTAAATCTTATTGCAAAGAACCGATAAAATTCAAATTTTAAAAAACCGTTGAAATTTAAATTTTTAATATCAGTTGATATTCAAATTTTTAAGAGCCGTTAATATTTAAATTTTCAGCAACCGTTAAAATTCAAATTCTTAAAATCCGTTAATATCTAAAGTTTCAGCAGTCTCTCAAAAAAATTTATTTAACACAATAATTTCCAAGTCACTTCCATTATCACTTCTTCTGATACAAAAAGTATGTTTTTTGGATATTTTTCTCCTTCTCCATTTTCTGCTTGAATTCCCAATACTTCATCTTCATCCTAATAGCTGGCAGCATGTCTTTAAATTTCATTCGTGCAGCCTCATCTTGTACAATCATCTCGACATCTTGTGGATCAAGCTTCTTCAAATTGATGCCCAATGACTCAATAAATCGATCAACATAGAACGGCGTGCTCTCATTTTTAATTTTCTCAATCATTAATTTCACATTTGGATCAAATTTAGCTTCACCAACATCCTTGTCGTCAGATACATCCATAAATGCTTTAAGATATTCCTCCTCAAGTGGACTAAGCAGTGGCTTTTCTTTAATAATCCTTTGTGGCTTCTTCTTCAAATACAATCGCTGTAATTTTCCAATTATTTTCTCCCTTTTCGGTGGATCCGCAAATAGTCGCTGTAGCTGCTTCATCGTTGTATCAATATTGTCCTCAATTCTACATGCACGCTCAGCCAAACGGAACTTTCTTTCTCGCTCTTTTCGTACTTTTTGTTCCATCTCATTGAACAACTTTTGTGGAATTTTATCGATTGTCGCAAACATGTTCAGGACTTTGTCTTCAATCCTTTGGAACTGGTCGATGGTTGTGAATATTTTTGAATCATCGATTGAGTTCTTCTCGTCGATTTTGTAGCCATAAATGATTGTTTTGAAAAGTATTTTGCAATATCCTTTAAGTTCATTCAGTAATGGATCCTTAAATGACTCTTCTAGTGGATTTTCAGCAAGTTCCTTTGATTTATTAAGCAGGTATGTGCTTCTTTGTTCCAGGAACCAAAAACGCTGTTCAAGGTTTTGTGCTTTAAATTCCATATTCTTAATGAACTTTTCATTATTAAAATTCAATTTTTTCAACTCATCATCAAGTTTGTTGGATATTATGGCTACATACATTAACTTTGAGAGCAGTTTTATTGATTTTGAACTCAGAACCTCAATCATTCCAATCATGTCCTTTCCTTTTTTGAATGGAAACAATTTCTTTGGCTCATTCATGCAGTAAATGTTGTTGATGTATTCCATGATATTTTGTACAGATGCATTTGCTTGATCCCATGCATTTTTCATGCTACGATTGTGTATTGATTTGCTCAAATCTTCAAGGATTGGAGTCTGGGAAGTTAGAGTTGTTGAAGAAGGCTAAATTTAAATTGTCTGCTGCCCGGTATAATCTAGGGTATGTAGCACCACTGAAGTATACTTTTTGGGATATAGCTACATAATCTTGGACAAAGGATTTGGCTTATTCTAGTGTAGCCTTAGTGTAATACTAGTTCATGCACTTGACGATACCTTAGGACCGTCATTGAGCCTGGTACATACTTACGGCTCTAAAATATACCAGTGTTGGCCAAATCATTTGCTGCAGCACTCAGTGAACCACACAAAGATTCGAGAAATCCCACGAATCTTATGCCGTGAGTGGTTAAAGTCATGGCTTACTATCAAGATGCCACGCCACAAAAAGGTTGTCCACCACTGGCTCATACCTTAGAAAAGTTCACAACCTAGAGAAGGATTCACTCTACTAATGAGCCGCGGCACACAGGTTGAGAACCTCTGGAAAATGCCACCCTCTAGGTCAACACTCAAAAAATTGAGTGGTTAAAGTCATGGCTTACTATCAAGATGCCACGCCACAAAAAGGTTGTACACCACTGGCTCATAGCTTATAAAAGTTCACAACCTAGAGAAGGATTCACTCTACTAGTGAGTCGCGGTACACAGATTGAGAACCTCTGGAAAATGCTATCCTCTAGGTCAACACTCAAAAAATTTCAGGCATTGATATACTAGTCAAAAGTTCAGTGTGTCATGGATCATAGTTTGTGAAGGGCTGCCCTAGTTTTTCAACACTGAACCTTTTTAATTTCACTATGATTTAAAATTTGCCGAGCGAAAAGTCCCTAATAATAAAATTTTGGCAGTGCAGCTCAATCTGCGCTCTGCGACACTTAAAGTTACTAAATTATAAAACCCACAACAAAATCAACACCATTAAAAGTTCAAAATATTTACCTCTAAACTTCCATCACCATAATCAAGATGCAGATGGTCGTGCTTTAAACGCCACTCCAGTGGCATTAAAAGATATTGAAAATCTTGATATCGTCTCATTCTCAAAAATTCATTACCAATATAGAAAATTTTCATATTCATCGGTCCCACTTGCACTCGTATGACTTCATGTTCAGCTCGAAGATTGTCGGTGTCAATATAATATTGTTTTACATCCTTCATAATCTTCATTGTGTCATGATTTCTTGTCTTCTTTTGTTCATCGAGGAACTTTTCATATTGGTTGACTGTTTCTGTAAGTTCCTTCATAGCTTTTGTATCATTTTCAGCTTGAATTTTATCCACCATCATTTTTTCCTTAATATAATAAGCCTCAATTTTCCTCATGAATCCTTCGCGCATTTGTTTAACCTCACTGACACGTTTAAAGCGGAACTCCGTTCGTGAACGCTCGTTATAGAGTTCCTTAGCATAAGATTCATCAATGTCAGTCGCAAGCAGTGATTTCATCTTGTTTTTTTCGGTCCCAATTAATTCATCTTCATAGTCGAGTGAGTCGACTTTCACACGCTCTCGTATGTTGGCACATGATCGTGTTCGTTGAGTGTGAAAGCGATCCGATGGCTTATGGAGCTTTTTCATTGTATGCAAGTCAGTGATGAAATATGGTTGCGAGTCGAATGACGGTTGGGATTTTGTGGTGACTAAGCTGTGGTTCTGTGAGGGGGATTTAGAAAATGTTTGGTGGTGTGAAAAAATTGTAGAAATTGAGGATGAAATCAAATTGGGTGGTAAGATTCAGTCTAGGGGAAGATGAAGGTTTGTTTTGGTAAGCTGCATATCAGGCGTGTAGCCAGGAGAGTCTTGTCCCCCTCTTGAGCGTTTTAGGTCGTGCTCTCGCTGGCTACGTGCCTGATGCATATGATAAGCTTCCTTTAGAGTTATTATGAGCCATTAAAGGTATCTAATGTTGATCTGATTGTTATTCAGGACCGAAGGTTGAGTTTATACCTAAATTAGTATTTAAAACATGCACAGAGTACATCCTAACAACAAGTAGACTGGAAGTAGCTAAAATAGGATACAAGTAGGAGCGCATGAATCCTAGTAACTAGAACTAGCTAGCTTGCAACTTAGTTTGTAATCTCAAATTCAACATTCATGTCCACAAAATTTCCTTTTTCCTCCCTCCTACAGATTTTTCCTGCAGATTAATAACAATCTTACAAAAAAATCTCAGATGCTATATACAGGTCACACCCACGAATACCTCAACATTCATTACATCTCACATTTTTCAGCATTAACTTCTTTTCTATGCTAGCACAAAAAAAAACATATTTTTCCCACCTTTCTTAAATCAAAAAGTTCTACACTTTAATGGAATCTGGCATGTACTCGAATGTAGAGCAAACTAGCAAACTCAATTTCCAATGCACATTAGCTTTTTTTTATGATTCATTGCAAAAAATATTTTTTTCATTTTAAATTCAAGCATTCCTATTGTGCCATTGAGAGTTGTGGTGCAGGGTTGTTAATTTGAAGATGAGTTGTCGTGACTTTAATTAAGTAAGTAAAGCATATGCTGTAGTCTGGTACTAGAGTACATCCTAGGGTATAGGTGCTTTACCAGGATGTATGGCTTTGGTGTTCCTTAATCTATAGCTGAGGCTACGGGTAGGTGTATACAATAAGGTTGGGATGGGAGTGCTCCTAAATTCAGCCTCTCAAAATCTCCAAGGTTCACGTAAACTAAATCTGACAACAAATTCACATTTCTTTAAAAAGTCGTCATACCTGAAACTTCTTTCCAATATTCACTCGACTTTTGGGAATTTCTTCATCGAGAATCACAATGTGACTGCCACTATCATTCGTAAAATACGTTCCCGTACTTGATAATGTCGAAGCTGATTGCATTGATTTTGTATCATAATCCTTATCAACAGTTGCATGAGCATTGTTATCTTCTCCGTCGTTCAATTCAATTCCTACAGACTTCATGTAATGCTTTCGTTTACTTGCTATGATACTATTAAAGCTCCTTCTTATTTCACTCTGATTTTCATCAATTTCTTTCTTCTTATTCTCTCCATCGATATCGATTGAAACGTGATTCCAATTGTCTATTGCCACATTATAACTTTTTCGATTCATCTCATCGTAATCGATTTGAAATTTAACTTTGGCTGAATTTATTTCATTGTAGATCCATGGTAGAGATTTATCAATTCGTAACAATTCAGGATTATTTCCACGTGGATGTGCTTTTGTGAAACCAACAACTTTTGACTGTTCACATTCATCTTCGGTCATGTCAGAACATGAAGACGATGGTATCTTTGGTATTAGCTTTATCGCTTCCGGCGTAGTTATGGTATTCGAATGTTTGTCTTTTGAAGTCAATTTGTCATCATTGTTGTGCTTTTCGCCTTTCATCTTTTCGTCATATGTGGAAACTGTTTCTGTTGAATGTTAAGTATTTTGGATTGGTAGTCGGTGGGATGAAGAATTAAAAATATTTTTTTTAAAAAGATTATTGATTTTTAAAATTTTGAGGTTAGGTTGTTAAGAAACTAGTAAAAAACACAAAGTTTTGAGGTTAGGTCTCCAAAAACGAGTAAGTTGTCAAAATTTTAAGGCTGTGATTTTAAAATCTAGAAATTTGATCAATTTTAAGGTTTCCAAGAAACTAGTAAATTCTTACAATTTAGAGGTTAGGCATCAGAAACCAAAGAAATCCTTACGATTTTGAGGTTAACTTACCAAAAAACTAGAAAATCTTCACGATTTTGAGGTTAAGCTATAAAAAAACTAGTAAATTTTTCAATTTTGAGGTTATGTCAACAAAAACAAGTAAGTTTTTACAATTTTGAGGTTATGTCAACAAAAACAAGTAAGTTCTTACAATTTTGAGGTTGTGTCATCAAAACTAAAAAATTCTTACAACTTTGAGGTTAAGTTTACAAAATCTTAGAAAATCTTCATGATTTTGAGGTTAGGCTACCAAAAAACTAGTAAATTCTTACAATTCTGAGGTTAAATTACAAAAAAACGAGTAAGTTCTCTCAATTTTGAGGTTAGGTCAACAAAAACAAGTAAGTTCTTACAATTTTGAGGTTATGTTCATGATTTTGATGAAAGGTTCATACCTAAATTTCATTACAATTCTACTCTTCCATAATCAACTAAATCTTTCGAAAAAATCACAAATCAAATCGCATAACTCACCTTGATTCATTCTAAAAGTCCTCTCATTATCATTCGTCTGTTCAAATTCACTCATTTCCATTGTCGGTATTCCCATAAATTTCATCCTTTGATATCGCTTTTGTATCTCATTCACATCAATTTGACTTTTTAATGATTTTTTCATTCTCGGCAAATATTTTTGTTTCAATTTTTTATCAATCTCTTTGATGTGCTGCTTTATGGGACTTTTGATATTTTTCATAATGCTTGATTTTTTTATCTTCGTCTTCATCATTTTGTTGCTCTCATTTTTATCGTTAAAGAGAAATGTTTTGTCGTCGTTGGGATCACACGCGCCTTTTATAGATGATAATATTTTGTCTTTGGGCGGTGAATTCTGAAATTTGTGAGTCAGTTTGTGTTTTGGACGAGCAGCATCAAATAAACAAACATTAAAAATTAGTAAAAAGAAGAGATGAAATCAATTTAGATTGAAATTGAAGCGCTTTTATCAGATTTGAAGAGGTTTAAGGAATTGAATGTGCTTCTGGATCACTTCAGAGCAACACACAAGAGACTGGTTTAGGATGATGGCCAACTCATGTGTCTTAGCACATTAACGTGCCGCAAAAAATAGGAAAAGACCACGAACCGTGTGTTGTGTGTGGTTTCTGTCATGACTTAGCACCAATGTGTGCCGTGTCACAAAAAAAGGTTGACCACCACTGTTCTAGGGTAACCTCAATGTTATGAATTTAGGTACCAACTGTTAGCTTTGGGTTTGGCGTTGAGAATATCAAAGAACGCTCTAAGTCAGTGGTGTTCAACCTTTTTTGTGACTGAAATCACACACTGCATACGGATTGTGGGATTTCCCGATTTTTTGTCGCTTGATAATAGTGTGCCGCGGCACATAGGTTGTTTATCATTGCTTTAAACATTTACCACACACCAAAGTATGAACTAAGCTACACAGTAAAAAAGGTATGACCAACAAAAGCATTAGGATATGATCAAGTGTAGAAGCTAGATTATAACCTAGTTTTCAACAAATATGCTAGCGATCAGACTTGACCTAGGTTATACCCCATAGTATGGACAAGCTATGAACTATACTACAAACTATAGTTCAACTGGCTGACATCTTGGCTATAGCTTTATTTCAAAAAGAATTATTAATGAAGAAATACTTCTTGAAGGCTTAAAATCCACTTCAAAGAATATTATTTCAGCATTTTAAGCCAACAAAATTCAACCATTTTTCCAAAGAAATGAAAAATTCATGAAAATTATCATTCAAAAGCATGCAAGTCAAGTCAAACTAAACTCAATCTCCTTTTTTAAAAATTCCATTCAAGTTAAAAACAATTGCCCATCTTATTAGCATCAAATATGACGAAATGAACAACTTAATTCACATTTATATGCAAAAACAATCTAGCAATGACTCTAGAGAGATGAAAAGTTTGTGAGGACTATAAATAGATACGCAAAATAGACCTAAATAAAGATATATATATTCTCATCTCTAATCTCGACAAAACTTACCACAATTTTAGGATCATTAGTGATTGTCTGTAGCCATTCTTTGTGCGTACGACAACTATCATTAGTCGTACGGTCTACACGATATAAATTGCTTTTGCCTCGAGGCTCCGAATACAAACGATCATGAAATCCTCTTAAAATGACACATTTACCGATTTTTTGTCCACATGAGATTTCATCGTCGATTGAATTTTCAACAAGTTCCTTACACGACTGACTCAATCTTCCTGATTCTCGAAAATCGAATTTTATTTTATCATTTGATGCATCCTCGACATCATTTGCAGTACTACTGTGATGCTCAGATGGTGGAAAGCTCTCATCAGCTAAACGGAAAATCAAATTTTCTTTTGCTTCCTTTTCTCGTTCCTCAATTTCCTTTGCCAGTGCCTCTTCCTTTATTTTTGTCATTTGAATACGTTGACGAAGTTTGTCTTCTTTATGCTTATAATGAAGTTTGACAATTTCTTTATTTTTTGGCTTGTCCAGCATTGGAATTACTCCGCATTTGTATTTTGATGATGTCGAGGGACTTGTTGGGGGTGCTGAGGATGTAAAGTTTTTTTTTATCGTTACGATTTATTTAAGTTTGGGGTTGGGGAAGTTTTTAAACTAATGCTATGATTTTAAATCTCAATTCAAGAGTAAGTTTCTTGAGAACGCAACTGTCACCTTTAAATTTTAAGTTCGAACGGCTTGTGAAAATTCAAAATGTAACTGAATTTGAAAATTTAATTTCCAAAATTTTTTATTTGACTTCTTAAATTTTGAATTTTAACGGGTTTTAAAATTTTGACTTTTAGCGGTTTTTAAAATTTTGACTTTTAACGGTTTTTAAAATTTTGACTTTTAACGGTTTCTTAAATTTTGAATTTTAGGTTTTTAAAATTTTTACTTTCAACGGTTTCTAAAATTTTGAATTTCAAGAGTTTATAAAATTTTGAATTTTAACAGTTTTTAAGATTTTAAATTCTAACGATTTCCAGAATTTTGAATTTTAACGGTTTTTAAATTTTGAATTTTAGGTTTTTAAAATTTTTACTTTCAACGGTTTCTAAAATTTTTTACTTTCAACGGTTTCTAAAATTTTGAATTTCAAGATTTTATAAAATTTTGAATTTTAACAGTTTTAATTTAACAATTTTTAAAATTTTAAATGTTAACGATTTCCAAAATTTTAAATTTTAACGGTTTCTTAAATTTTGAAAAGTAACGGGTTTTAAATTTTTGACTTTAAACGGTTTCTTAATTTTTGGATTTTAGGTTTTTAAAATCATGCTACGGACACGTCGAAAAATCCGTTATTTTTTGCTTTGAATTTCAAAAAACCGTTTAATTTCCATGAATATTTCTTGCAAACATTGGCAAAACCAAGGCTTGGGCAAACGATTCTTATTCTTAGCTTCATGTTTAGTTAAGTTTAGGGTAATTCCATGAGTGAAAAAAATTTTAGTGCTCCAATTTTTCAAAAATATTTCCTTAACTAAGAACTTTGTACTCCAAATTGTAACTTTATTATGTTTATTAACACAATATTTATCTCCATATGTGAGAGTTTCACATCAGAAATATGTCTAATTCTTGTTTTTTTAATAAAAGTAAAATTAATCGGTCAAGTTTTCGAAAAATCGTTTTCTAAACATTTCCTAATATTTACTTAAATACACACTTCTATGTTCCAAAGTTACTTTTAACATATTAGATATTAGCCAGGCTTTTGTTTTATGTATAATTTGCATTCCTTAATGCTTTAATTAAGAAGAAAAATCAAAAAAACTAGCATTAATCGGTCAATTTTTGACCGATTATTGCAAAACAGAACACTGAAAAAATTTCAAATTCACAAAAACCATTAGATTTTCTTGATTTTACTTGTAAGTTTATTACATTTATTTGATTTAATTGAGCAAGTAACTAAAGTTTCAAAACATTAAAGATCATGTATATTTGAACCATCTCTCTTTGATGGTATTGCGGCTAATTCACTCGAATAAACAACAAAACGTTTAGAAATTATAACGGTTTTGGGAAATTTGAATTTTTACAAGTAGAGAAATATTGCATAGTGCTTTTTCACAGTTCTCATTACTCATGGAATTACCCTTTAGCTAAAATCATCCAAGAAAAATACTAGAAATTAAATATTAATGCTCAAAATCTTAAAATTGACAAACTTTTAACGGTTTTAAAATATTCAAACACTAGGTCGACTAAATTCAAACATGTCGAAAATATTCGACTCTGAAATGTCCGTAGCATGTTTAAAATTTTGAATTTCAAAATTTTATAAAATTTTGAATTTTAACAGTTTCAATTTAACAATTTTTGAAATTTTAAATGTTAACGATTTCCAGAATATTGAATTTTAACGGTTTCTTAAATTTTAAAAATTAACGGGTTTTAAAATTTTGACTTTTAACGGTTTCTAAAATTTTGAATTTCAAGGGTTTATAAAATTTTGAATTTCAACAGTTTCAATTTAACAATTTTTTAAAATTTTAAATGTTAACGATTTCCAGAATTTTGAATTTTAACGGTTTTTAAATTTTGAATTACAATGGATTTAAAATTATGAATTGTAACGGTTTCCAAAATTTGGAATTATAATTAACCTCTCCAAATTAATCGTGTATATAATCCACTCTATTCCCCAGACAAAACAAATACCTTAAAAGACCTACAAAACTCTCAATTATTCTATTGATAATCTACTATTGGAACATGAATGAATAATGAAATGAATGTAAACTAAATACAGTGATTATCATTCAAATGAGAGAGAAACAAATTCTCAAAGGTACGACCAGCATGGCTGGAATTTTATCTAAATTAAGGACGTTTCACGCAATATCATAATAGCCATCTCAATGTACCGGGAAAGTTTTTTTTCTTTTTTTATAGCCTCGAGAGAAAGAAAATGTTTGTTTTTGGTTGTTTGTGATAGAATTGGGCTAGTCATGTTTAGGAGACATTTTACTCCTCCCCCCCCCCCTCTCCATCCCCTCTACAACAATTCCAATTCAACTTGCCCATTAAACCATCCAACTATACACAATACCCAAACAACAGTTGCAATCTTGAAACATTTATCAGTTCTATTCGTGTCCCTTTCAAGCACCATTTCATGTCTAAAGATTAATCCCCCAATGCAGCATTAAAGTCTTAACAGCATTAATAACATCTCGTAAAAGTAAATTCTGTCTGCAAATCTTTTAATTTTATTTTTCTACCTTTAACATTTCTTTTTTTTTGTGTGTGTCGGTTGAAAATTACTCGTCATAAATTACAACCTTACACAAATCTCACATAGCAGACATGACGTGAAAAAAAATTTCTTGCTTCTTTTTCATCCTTTCCATCAGAAAAAGAACGGAAAGCAGAAAAAATGGAAGGAAAAAGAAGAAAAATTGACGACAAACGAGAGGGGAGGGCAAGGAACATGGAATAAAAATAAGACTCAGATAATATTTCTCAAAATGGATAAACGAGGAACAAACAAAAGTCTCTTAAAAGGATTAGGTGCTTTTAGGGCGCATTTTATTCAAGCTGTTGTCGATCATTATCAAAGCTTAAGATTTTGTTCATTACAAAGCTCAAAACCCATGACACCCTACTTAGTCAATAACTTAAACCAGCGGTTCTCAAACTTTGTCCTGCGGCACCTAGTGTCTAGCTGGTTTCTAAGTGCATCGCAAAAACTTTAAAAACCAAAAAAGCTTGAGAAACACTGACTTAAAGTAAAACTCTAACCCAGTGCTGTCCAACCTTTGCAACAACACACTTGGTGGTAAGCCATGACCAAAATCGCACACAGCATTCGGTTCGAGTTATATCCCAAATTTGCCGCAGCACACTTGATGCGCATCACTTCTCTAACCCAAACTGACACAACATACACAAGAACTATACAAGAAAAATTTCAGCGCTCGAAATTCGGGACAATGAAAACTTTCCTTCCGCTGTTTGAGGATCAAAAAGAAAACAAGAACGTGGAAAAGGCAAGATTGACTGCACACAACAAAAAAAGGCAGAGACGACAAAGGAAAAAGATTGGATTATCTCATAAATTGCGGTACTTTATGAAGACCTGCTTTATATTTCAGGGTAGATAATCGGAAGTGTAATTTACAGCAAGTGACCTTTCATTTAATTGTAAAAACGATACAAAAAAAACGTTGTAAATAGATGGGAAATGATTATTTAAGGTGAGGATGACAAAGACAGGATGGAAAAAAATGGAAAATTTAAGAGGATTTTTGAGCTCTTTATTGTTAAAAAAGAAGCTTTTGTGCAGGAAAAAAGTTGTAAGTCTGAACTTGGTTGAATAATTTTTAAAGGGTTTTGAACAATAACTTATTCAATTAACAAAAACTTTCGTTGTGATAAAAATAAATACAGTTTCAGGGGGAAAACAACTTGGTGAGAAAAGAATTCTGAACTTTTCAACAAAAAAAATCTTCAATTTTTCGTCAATTTTTAAATAAAATTCAAGTTAATAATAAAAAATTATTGAAAATATTTTTACACTAAGCTGTTTCCCCCCGGAAAAATCTTTCTTTTTTAATAAGTTTCTCAAAAACTTTTTGTAAAGTAAATGAAAGGAAAAATCCTCAATGAGAATTTTCTAAAGTGAATTATTTCTTCATCCTTTTGTTAATCTAAATTTATTTAATATTCTCGTCTGAAAAAGTTTTGAATTGAAATGTATTTTTAAAGCTTTGAGACATATTTATAGCTTGTTTAATTAATTAGGGGTTATTTTTGAATGAATATTGTTGATATCTAAGATTTATATAGTTTCGTACCCCTTTGCTGAGCTAAAGTGGCTCGGTAGCAGTTTGGTTTGGCGTATAGGCGCTAAATTACTTTGAAGTGTCTATTTTTGGTGACTTCAAAAGTAAGGTTCGAATCCTATTGCAAATGATGAGACTAAGTTTGAGTTTAGGGAACCCTCACCCGAATGGTACAAGTCGGTTATTCGAATATAAATCTGGTGCCAAGCCGGCATGACTCTTTCATGGTGCTGGCTTCGATTAAAATTCAGCACTATTCCAAGGTTGCCGACTTGTGACATTCATAGATCTTTAAAGTTTTATTGTAAATTATCGAACAACTCAAGGGGGAAACAGCATGGTGGAAAATTATTGAACTTCTAAAGAGGAATACAGCATGATGGGAAATAGTTTAGTTGAAAATCAACAAAAAACAAAAATGAAACAACGAGAAATTTGTTGAAAATTGATACTAATATCTTATTAAAAACTTTTTCCAAAAAGTTGTATTCCCCTTCTTTTTCCAAAAAGTTGTATTCCCCTTCTTTTTCCAAAAAGTTGTATTCCACTTCTTTTTTCAAAAAGTTTTTTTCCCCTTCTTTTTCCAAAAAGTTATATTCCCCTTCTTTTTCCAAAAAGTTCTATTCCCCTTCGAATCTTTCATAATAATTCAAATTTAACAAAAATCATTGCAAACATTCTAAAACATTAATTAAAGGATCACAAAAGCATCAAC